TGTGTTTTTTGGTGGAACGACCGCAATGAATTTATTTTTAGATATTGACGAAGTGAGCATGTTGCTGCAATTTGTTTATAGTTTTTCAGATGCATTTTCTTTCAATTTTTTTCATTGGTAAATAAATAAATAAATCCGTGCTATAGCAATTGGTAAAAAACGAGACCAGAGAGCAGTGTCAGACAGACAGAGGGCCATAAAACAGTTGACCATGCAGAACGATTAAATTGCGGATTCCCTGGTCGGGTGCTGGTGTTGCACGCTGAACTCTCTGGTGCAAAGTGCAACATTCCGTGTTGCTGCTGTTTTTGTGCACATCTCTTTTGATTGAAAGTGCACACAAATCGATTATTATTAACGATTTTTTGCCAATGCCTTTTACACACCAGCACCATGTATCGCCGCGATTCGTTTCAATGGGCCGTGCATAAACATCAATTAAATTCGCCTGAAAATCGGCATGTGTTTTATGGCACCATTTGTATATGGCCAATATCTTTTGACCATTTAATTAAATTATATCACTGGCCTGACCACGCCACGCCCCCTCTCCTTACACAATGCCTGCTTTGAATGGTTTCCCCGGGCATCCCCCCGAGCTTCTGACTGCTTTTTGCAGCTTATAACCCCATCGGCATCGAAGCTTGAATGACTTTGACTCACCGACTACCATTCATACTTCAAACACGACTCCATTGTTCGGTTCTGTGCCGCTCGGGGTCAGAGGTTAATTGATGATAAATGCACGCCCCCCGCTCGGCACTGCCACAAATTGAAACATCAACGCCCCACCGTTGCGGTTACCCATGATGCCAGAGAACAGAAAAAGAGAAACACAAACGCCTGAAAGGCATTTAATTAATGAGCAATTGATTAAATCATAAACAAAGCAGCGCCCAAGACTGAATCTAAATTGAATACTCGATGGTGTCACACACATTTGTTTTTCTTTGTGCTCCTTTACTCTCTTATATCAGAGCGACAAGTGCAATGATTTCTGGACATGCCACATGTATGTCGAATAACTGGCAGCGTTTGACTCGGTGAATGGTAATTGCCCCAGCAATTTGTTGAAATGTCAAAGTGCTTGCCTCGCACAAAGTGATGCACTCAACATACATCGCCCCAACGCTTTGGTCTACGAACTAAATAAAGAATGTCCGGGAAAAAAGCAGAAGTGAGTATATTTTTTATTGCTTTTTTTTATAGAGCCAGCAGAGTAGTAGTTGAAGATAGTGAAGTTTAATGAGTTTTTACCTTTAGGTTTTGGAATAAACGATTATAGAGAGGAGGTTGAACATTGTGTTTCGAGGTTTTTCGGGTCGGAAAGCTTCAATTAACTTAAATTGGAAAATCACAGAACCTTTTATCAAAAATAACACTTTTTCGATTGTTGCCCCGGAGGCTATTGTAATTATTCACTCCGTGCCACCAGACAGATAACCAGAAGCCCCCCAGAAGGGTAGTGGTGTCAGCGGTGTCACACTCAACTGAACGATCCGACACCACCTGACAGACACTCTACGTGGAGTGCTTGTCGGATTTAAAAAATAATAAGGAATACGGGGGAGAACCAACAAAAAAGTGACACCAATGGGGGAAAAAAACATTGTTGGCAGCAAAAATCATGCATGCCAAATGAAAGCGAAAAATGGAAAATTGGAGCAAGACTGGCAGGAGGGTGGAAGAAGACCAAAAACTTGCCAGGATGACAGGACACTTTTGCAAGTGTCTGTTAAATAGAAGACACACACAACAAAGCACTTGAAAAAAACTAGAAACTTTAAGAAAATTTAATAAATTAAATCAAGAAATCATATCTAGAGAAAGTCATTAGAAAAAATGAGAAATCTCCTCTATTTCCCTTTCAATTATTATTTATTTTTTCAAGTGGATAGTTGCTTGTTTTTGTGGCGAAAACTGGCTACCCGAAAACCTAAAGGATGTCAAGGTTGATGAGTTTGCATCTCCGCCACACACAGTCGCTTTCATATACGAAAAACTTTGCCAGAAGTCAAAGTTCGGACCCTCCGGCACAAGTTGAACAAATTCAATAGACAACAATAAGGAGTGTGGGGCACGAGCAAGTGAGCTGAGACCGTTCTGTGGCTGCTGATGATGGAGAACTGGCTGGTGTCGCCTCCAAACGTACCCCCACTCCACCATGATGCCACTCTCCCTGGTCCCATCAGCATTTTCACGACCCGTTGACAGCGCAAATATGCAAAGTCAAGTGGCAATTTATCATGCGCTGCACTGCGCCCGCCCTTCTCCCAAAAAGCCAAAAGGTGGCGGCCCCACCACCGCGTGGGGCACTCGGGGGTTAAGTGGCAAAACTAAATTGAATCGCCAGCAACGAACCATGCGTGGGCATGTTACTAGTACTACTATACGCCTACAACTAACGCATCCCCGGGTCCTCAAACATTTTGCACATTGGAATAAAAACAATTTTTAAAAGATTAAAAAAAATATATATTTCGAAAAATATAATGGAAATTTGTTTATATTATTTATATATTTATTTACTCAGAATAATTTTGTAATAGGAACTCAAGAAACTACACACTTTCCCAACTTAAAACCCTCTTAAAACTTTCCCCAAAAATAGATGAAATCTAAAACCTAATATTCTCATGGAAGACCTAGTGTACGATATTTGTTTTTGTAGACTGGCTGGCATTAAAATCGATGCGACGCTGACCTTTCCCTCAATTAAAAGTGCACACACACACAGCGAATGGGCCGGTCGGGCACAGTGCTGGCCGAAAGTAATGCGACACTTTTTCCAACAGGGGCGTTGCTTTCGACACTTTACCTCATTAGAGCCCAGAGAGGAGCTGCAGCAGCCGTCGCTTGGATAATTAATGATGGACTCCCCTGCAGGCTTCATATTGATTTTAATTTGTGGAATTTGCTGGGTAAATATGATAAATACTAGCCGGGGGAGGCACTCAATTGGATCGAAAAGCAGCACTCATCTTAGACCGAAGTAATTAACCAGCCCGATTGGACACTGGCACCCTCTAAGTTGGCCAAATCGAGGCTGTTGGTCACTTGACAATCCCAATCTCACCCCATTTGCATCAGCAGAGACCCTGTGGGCGGAAGTGCTTGGTAACCGCAGAGCTACTGGATCCAATTCGCATAACCCACCCGAATCCTTTTTCTCCTTCTCCGGGGGCAACGGAAATGCTCCCTGCTGTTGACAAGCCTCAAGAGATCCAACCAAAGACACTCGTCTCGTCAGTAAGTGACCACAGAAACAGAAACAGCAGCAATGGGAAATGGCCAGTGGGTAGTGTGATGCACAATTGCAGAGTTGGATGGTGTGGAAGTGGCAGGGGCACAGGCAGTGGCAGAGAGGCAGGGGCAGGCGGAGTAATATGCGTAATTAAACAAAACCGCAAGTGGGACGCAGAGGCAAAAATAAACGGAGTCAGGCGAAAAAGGATGCCGCAGTTGAGGATAAAAGCAACTGCAAGTGGGCCACATTAAAGATGAGAAAGGATAAATAACGAAGTTTGGATCATCTCTGTTGCAATTTACAAAATTAATATAATACTAACTTTAAAAGGGGCTCCATCAAAGCCATTATTACTTTCCTTAAATATCCCAAAAAGTATGCTTTAAATATTTTATATGCCTTGATGACCTAAAACCTAAATTTCTCTTCAGGATACTACTACTTTTTAAGCTCAACCTATGAAAAATGCAAGCCCCGAAATGAAAGTATTAATAAAATCGTTAAGGAAAGTGCAAACATTTACGTTTTTATCTCCACAGTTTACACACAGTTGGCTCTACCTTTTATTGCACTACAAAGTGTGGCACAAATTGTTTATACCCATCGGCTAGAGATGTCGCCAGGCTCAGGCTTAAATTAAATATTTGCAAGGACCTCGCTGGAGTGCGAAAAATGCTGGAGAAAGCAGAACGACGACCAACGATGAAATCAAAGAAAGCCAAAGGACCAAAAGAACCGAAAACGCAGTGCCACATAAATGTGGGGCATGCAGATTGAAGTGTCGGGAGGAAAAACTGAAGTACTAAAGGACCAGAGCCAGAGCCAGAGCGGACCAGGCGTTGGCCCAATGAAAAATCAGAGGCATGTGGCAGGCCATTGAAATGGCAGCAAAGAGGGGACTTAACACCACACAGACAGACAGCTTTTAGGCAGCTGAAATTGATCGAAAGACTAAGAGCAAACATCGTTGACTGACAGTCTGAAAAGGGCTTCAGAGAAACGAACCAGCGCAGCCTCGGGATGTTTTTCCATCTTTCAGATACATATACATATTTGTGACAAAGTGCTGCCCCTTCTCCATAAGGCCAGAAAGATGTGCAACAATGTCCCATCGATTTTCTATTAGCCACGAGACACTTGAGCCACAAAACTAAATACCGAAACGGAAATATTGATAAATACGTAACGACATTAGGGGACAGATAGAAGAATACCACCCGAAGAACCGTAACCACATTATGAAAAAAAAACTAAAACTCGTAACTGCCCTACCGGTGTCGACGAGCCAAGAACGGAACATAATAAACGGTGTCCATGAGAATAAAAATAAAACGCAGAACGTAACTCGGAAGAGCCCCACTCTACTGCTCAGTTACCTCACCTCAACTAATGATACACTGAACGCTTAAATAAGCTTTAAAGTTTATAAATTTATTAAAAAAAATAAATAAAATTGTTTAGAAACTCACTGATATTTAAATTATTTATTTAATAAAATCACACATTTTTAAAAATGTATTTTAAAGATTTTTTTTAAGTTATAAAATTATAAATGCTATTCTAAAATAAAAGCTTTCATATACATAGTATTACTCTATCACTTTGCTCATTAATTTCTAATTTCAAAAGGTTATCAGTTGAAAAGAATGAACTTCTATTGAATCTTAGCACTTTGCACTTATTTTTTAAATTAAATATTTTAATGGTTTTAGAATACAAAATATAAATTTAATACTGCATTAATTTTTCTCACCTGTTAGGGCTGCCAAATTCAGAATAAATCCAATTAGTTTCATTTTGGAAACTCACAGCCAATAAATTAAACTTCACTAAAGTATTATTTTAAAATTATATATTTTCGCAATAAATTCCGTGGTTTTTTCAAAAGTCACTTGAATTATTTAATTTATTTTTATATCAGATTGTGTCACTGGAATTACACTTCAATTGTTTTGACTTAGTTTTGCAGTTTTTGTGGATTCTTGCGATACGGATGTTGTTGTTATTGTTGTTTGGATTAGTTCACCGATCCGGGCAGATGAGCGGAGCCCGGAGTCCGGATTCGGGATTCGGATCCCGAGCAGACGGAGAGAATTCACGACAACAAGCTTGGTCGGAGAGAGCGGCTATGGGGACACGAAGTATAAGTCGCCCAACGCGCACAAATATCTGGATGTTGCGCCACGAACCGACTGAATGAAATGAATTTCATTTTTTTTCGTATCTTCGGTTAAACGAAATACCAAACACCCCAGCTAATTTCGAAATTCGAAAACGAGGGGCAGGCTTTCACAGAAGCTTGTGGTGAAAGCCTCTGATAAGAAAACTTTTCCCAGAAAATGTATCTTTGTTTCAATTTTATAGTACATCCCTAAAATAATGTATGACAGTTGCTTTAAGGCTATAATATAAACCAAGTTTGGTGGATGCTACAAAATAGTATTTATGTTTTTTTATGTTTCCTATAACAAATCACACCTTTATAAAATTTTACCATTATGACAAGACAAAAACCTTTACAATTTTTTGTTTTGGTGTAAGATTATAACAAAAATTTGTATTATTATTGATTTCTGCTAAAATTATTTGGAAATTACCAAATAAAGATATATATAAACTATTTTAAACAAAATAAACATTTTTTACTTCAAGTTTTAAAGAAACATGATAACGGCTCTGGTTTAAAAATAAGTTAAGCTTATTTTGAAGCTTTTTCAGTATTTTTGTCAGGGTGGCAACACCATATCGATAACAATTTATCGACGTAACTATATCTAAAACTCACATATCTAACATAAATGTAAATAAAAGAAATGCCGGGAAAAAGGTAAATAAATTGATAAACCAATCAATGTTTGATGAATATATTCCTTAATTAATTTAATACCTTTCAGACCGAGAAGAAAATTAACTAAGAAGAAGCAGCGCCAATACCGACGACAAAAAAAGGCAAAAGAACGCGACCGACTGGAGGAAGAGGCGGAGAACCAAAGACTATCCGATCCAGAGTACCAGAAGTGGCAAAAGCAGCAGTATGAACTGGAGGAGTTCCAGCGCCTAGCCTTAGAAAGGAAACATCTGGAGGAGGAGGAAACATGGCTCCGACGGGAGGCCATCGCTCAACGACAGTTTCGTTTAGATGATGCCAGGAGACGCAAAGAGCAGTCAGAAGCGGAACGCCTGATGGGGGAGCAAGCCAGGGAGCTGGCGGAAAGGGAAGAGGCACGAAGGAAAGTGAGAGAAGAAAATGAACGTCAGATCGCCAAGGCAAATGCCGAATTTGAAGCTATGATGCAAAATATGCACGAGTACCTTAACAACCCTCAGCTGGAGAAGCCCCCAAAACACCTGCTGCGCATAATGGAAACGCATCCGGGAGAACGTGCTTGCGAGCTCTATTCCCGCACCAATTGTTGTCGTTATGGACACAGTTGCACCTTCAACCACCCACGACCTATGCTTTCACGAATTCTGCTCATTCGGCACTTCTTTAGCCATAGCCTGCTCCAGGAGCGAAAGGTTCACAAGGAGTACGCCTCTGCGGATGAAGAACTGGAACTGACTGAGCAGGATCTTCGCAGCGACTACGATGAATTCTTCGAGGATGCCGTAAAGGAGCTAGAAAAGTTCGGCAGCATCATCAATTTCCGAGCATTGCGAAATACCCTGGAACATCTAAGGGGTCACGTCTTTGTAGAATACGCCCACGAACGGTTTGTCTAGGAATTTTAGATGTTTTTTTTTTAAATCTACTTATTTGGAGTAATCCCATTCTTTGTTCTAGGTCAGCGTTACGTGCCTTTATAAACCTCCAAGGACGCTATTACGCCTCGAGGCGTCTTAACGTCGAGTTCTCACATTTAAAAACTTGGCGTGGGGCAGTTTGCGGTACGTGAACTGCATGCCAAGAATCGTATCCTTTGACAAACAAATTGACCCAAAAAAATGATTTATTTGCCATATTTTTAAAGGTATGTCCTTAACACGAAAATGTCCCAAAGGTAACACCTGTCTCTACCTGCACTTGTTCCGCAATCCCAAGAATCTGTTCAACAGGGATCTGGAGAAAACGACGACTCCAAGAAGCGACCGCAACTTTAGTCAGACTCCCACAGTCAGGACTCCCTCAGCCAGGTGGTGAAATATTTATATCCATTAAGGAAATGGTTATAATTCTTTTTACCGATTTTTTTTAGTTGGGACAGTCAAGACGAGCCTGGTCGTAACTGGCGCTGGTCGGAGAGTCCCGAACCAGATCTTAAAAGTTCCAAAGATCTCAGCAACCAGAAGTCTCGAACAAGAAGCCACTCAAATCGATCTCATTCTGAGCATCATTCCAAGTCCTTTAAATCCAATCGGGACTGCAGCTCCTCAGGATCTCGATCCTCACATAATCACAGATCTAGAAGATCATCTAATAGTGACTCAAAGCACCACAAATAAATGCCAAAGTATTAAAAACCTGTTGATCAATGTGTTCTCAAAAAATGTTTTAAAATATTTCAGCATTCTTAAAAATTAATATTTTAAATATATTTCAAATAACGTGATCGTAGATATTTTTCCAACTATCTGGCAGCGCCTTGGGCGAGTATGACCATTCCAGGGCAACGGAAAAATGGCAACATTCTATAGAGTCGTCTAGCGCCACAGAAAACGGGCACACTAATGAAATAAGTTGAATTTTGAAGAATTCTAGAAAATTCGACTTACAAACAAACCTACCCATCCTTGAATTAAACGAAAACTGCCACCGGAAGCACTGCCGGACCGGAACCGTAGCGAGCCGACATCAACTAGCATTTCACACAAGCCGGACACAAAAATCCCATCCAAAGAACTATGGCCAAGTGGGGTGAAGGAGATCCGCGCTGGATTGTCGAGGAGCGACCCGATGCCACCAATGTGAACAACTGGCACTGGACGGAGAAGAACGCGACGCCATGGTCCAAGGAGCGCCTTCATCAGCTCTTCAAGGACTTCAAAATAGGCAAGAAATCGATGTTGCGATTCCAAGTATGGATTCTAACCTAAAATTTGCACCTTTTTCATGCAGAAAAGAGCGATATCGAGTGCGTGGTGGACACCGTGGACAAATGTACTGGGGAGGCCACCGTCAACAATCGCAAGGGCAAACTTATCTTCTTCTATGAGTGGGAGCTGGTCCTAAAGTGGTCCGGCCGCATGATCAAGAACAGCAATCTGAGTCACAAGGGAAAGCTCACCATTCCCAATCTCTCCGAGGAAAACGATCTTGAGGATGTTGAGATCACTGTTACCATCGATGAGTCCAACGACGAGTCGGAGACCCTCAAGCAGTTTATGTACAATGTTGGGCGGAATCACGTGCGCCATCAGCTGGGCGCCTACATTCGTGAGCTTAAGGAAGAGTACTCCAAGAACCTGATCCTACCAAAGAAGGGAGACGAGGCCGCCGCCGGCAATGCTGAGACAAACGCCAACCTCAAGGATGCTAACAACATCAAAAATACCGCTCAGAAGGCTGTCTCCAATACATCGGTGGCGGCGCCCAAGTCGAGTAACACCAGTGTGGGCTGTAAGCTCGACGTTCGCACCCTTTCGATGACCGAAGAGTTTCACTGCAACGCCAATGATCTTTACAATGCACTTACAAAAGCTGAGATGGTGACTGCCTTTACAAGGGCACCCGCGAAAGTAGACGCCGTGCGAGGTGGAGAGTAAGTGGCCCATCTTCCTCAAGAATCCAGTAGGGCTAGAATACCTAATTTATTCTGTCCAACTGTATCTTTAGGTATATATCAGATCATTCTTATTAAACCTATTTTACATTATAGGTTCGTCTTGTACGGAGGAAATGTTGTGGGCAAGTTTGAGGAGCTTGTTCCTGAAAAAAAGATTCAGCAGAGCTGGCGTCTGAAAAACTGGTCATCTGGTCACTACTCGAACGTCGTCATAGAGCTTGAGGAAACTGTAAGTTAAATGGGACTAAGGTTACAATTCTATTACCATAGAAACCATTAATAGATATTCCAATGAATAATTATAATAATTATTTAACCTTTTTCAGTCTTCAAGCACAATGATGACGCTCAAGCAGACCGGCATTCCCGCCTCCGAATACGATGCGATGAAGATCAACTGGTATCGGTACTACTGGCATAGCATTAAGCAAACCTTTGGCTTCGGCACATCGATATCGGACGCCTTATAAGTGGACGTTCCTGGTTGCGGAAGCTCTACATTGGACAGGGGCTTTGGTTATAGGCGTATCATGAAACGAGTTCCATTTGTTTTCAACCGAAAGAGCTGCGAGAATTTCATTTCCACCCTTAGCTGTAATTTCTGTTAATCCTTGAAGGCTCTACGAAGGACACTTCTACATCGTTCGATAGTAAATCGAACTAAATAATCACCGGCTCGTTTACAACAGGAAGTAGTAAGATCGTGCTCCATAAACGAATATTATAAAAAAAAAAAAAATTCACGCTTCCGACATTAATTTCACACATTAAAATGCTGAGATAAATAAACGAAAAAACCTGAACAAGTTTTTTTTTAATATTGGATTTAATATTTTGAATTATTAATATTATATTAAATAATTCGTATTTTTTATTAATAGAAGTGAGGGTTTCAAATGATATGAAGGGCCCTAAGTTGGCATTAAGTTAAATTCGATTTAAATACTTAATTTGATTCATTATCGTCGTTGTTTTGGAATAACCTATGAACTTGTAGTCTAGGCATTATAATAAATAGAGCTTAATATTTACAAACTTAGTCGCCTGAGTCATCCAAGCATCGGTGGTTCAGTGGTAGAATGCTCGCCTGCCACGCGGGCGGCCCGGGTTCGATTCCCGGCCGATGCAAAAGTCTATTTTTTGGATCAATTAAAAATTGGAATTTTTTTTAAATAATAAGCTGATTTCTCCGAAAAATTAAGGATTTATATCTGAACATATTAGTTGTGAAAATTACTTAGAGATCGAGTTTAGACTCAACCATATTTTAAATCCCACCTGTGGGTAACCCACTTATAAAAGCTTCAGATCACTTAATGTTTTTAAGATCCTCTCACATGATTAAGATAAAGTTTCCTTATTAGGATTATAACCACATACAATGCTATGCTATATCTAAATTATAAAATAATTTTGAACCCCAAATAAAACTATGGTTCAGTTATAGATTGATCGCAGCTCTGTCTAGCTTTTTAGAGCTGCATTAAACTTGAACTTAAAATACGATAATTTTCACGGATTAAAACACGAAGCATCGGTGGTTCAGTGGTAGAATGCTCGCCTGCCACGCGGGCGGCCCGGGTTCGATTCCCGGCCGATGCAAACCACTTTTTTTCTTTTATTATTTCTACCCATTTTTCATAATAAATCAATCATAGTTTATATCTTATCGTATATTTTATATTTAAAAAATTAATTAAATACATTTTTATCTTCTATTTTTTTTTCATAAGCGATCTCTTGGAAGATTAAATTAAAACCTGAAGTTTAAATATGACTAATTTGACAGCCAAAAACAAGAAGCATCGGTGGTTCAGTGGTAGAATGCTCGCCTGCCACGCGGGCGGCCCGGGTTCGATTCCCGGCCGATGCAAAACAACTATTTTGTGGATTTTTATTTTTAAAAATTACATTTTTGTTAACATATTGGTTAAATTATAAGGTTTTCTTAGTCTACTTTGTGTGTATTCAAATGCTTTTGGTAATCCTTGTAGCTGTTACTTTTAAAGACCTCACCGGGTTCCTGGTCCTCACACTTCTTGCACTCGTAGATGAACTTGCCGGGATGCTTGCCAGTCTTGACGATGTGTTTGCGTAAATTGTCGATGGTGCTGCACTGGAAATCGCAGTGGGGGCACTGGTGGGGCTTCTGGCCCGAGTGGCGCAACGAGTGCCGGCGGAGGTGGCCCTTGATGCGGGCCCTGAACTCGCACTGATCGCACGAGTACCACTCCTCTCCGCCACCCTTCTCCGCGGCATGGGCAGACTTGAGGTGTCTGTGGAGCAGAAGAGAAGAGAGGATGCTTGAGCGAAGCCATATTTAAAATCTCAAAGCTTGATTAGGCGGTAAATTCCAGTGGCGGCTTGTCCCGCCACCGCAGTCAGAACTAATTGCTAATTTCGAATTCGAATCGCACGCTCGAAATCAAAATACGAGTAAGTTGCCAATTGGCAATTGGCTTTTGGCCAGCGGGAGAAGCTGTTCCACCACCTCCAAAACGGCAGCCAGAGCCAATCCGGGCTTGGCTGCTTAGATGCTGATCAGTTTTTGGGTTAAGAGCGGGAAACAAATAATGGGTATTGCGATTTCTGGTTTTGGACGACTTTAGGATTAACTTTTTATTCTTTTAGAAAAAAATTTCAAAAGCTTTTAATCAAATATTTTTAAAATAAGTATATTTAGTAGAAATATTTTCAATAATCATAGTCTTTGAGAAAACCATCATACCCCACCAGGAAGAAAAGTCCACCTCACTCACACGATTTCAGTTACGCGCCTTCAATTATGCCCAATGCTCCAGGAACTGCTCCTCCAAAGGAGCCTCCTAGGGGCTGTGTATGTGTATGTGTGTCCACTCCACTTATCAGCTACTGTCCAAACCGAAGACTCACAATTAATTGCCAATGTTTCTTTTCTTTTTTTTGTAGTTGGCTTGGGCCGCCAGAATCGGAATCTGTGTGAAATCTCAAGCTTCGACTGAATAAACTGAAGTCTGAAGTCCCGAGAGTTTGGCGTAGCAGACGGACGCGACTCATGCGCGACTCGGTAGGCTTAATTAGCGGCGAGTAATGGAGCTTCAAGATCGTTCCAGCCAGCCTGGTCGAGTTGTAGGAGGCTGCCCCGCCATCATCCCAGCATCCCCCAGCATCCTACCAATTGGTATCTCTCTGTGTGTCGAATGCCGACAAGTTTGCGATTCGCGAATCGAGGCCGCGAGAGGCTTCTTGCCATACGAAACGCCTTTTTGGCCAAAAGGCTGCGCTTTGAAATTCCTGGATCAGCAGCCGCAACCTTTTGATAGCTAATTGAAGATCTCGGATCCGAGTTAAGCACATCACAACACAGTTCTCTCTGTCTCCTGGCTGGATTTCCTGGGCAAGATTTACGCAAGCCCTGATTTTTGGGACTGAGGTCAACATTTTGCATTTTTAATGAGGTGAAAAGGAGTCTTTATGTTTATTTTTTTAATGGAGCTTGCTTTTTAAATACAATATGTTTTTAGAGGTATTTTAATGGCTTTACTAAGAAGTCAAATTTTCAGTTCATAGTTTAGAAATGCATCCTCAACTCCACCCAAAAAAGGCTTTAAATGAAAACCGAGGCAAAGGTTATGGTGATCTGGGGTATTAGCCATTATCAATCCAACTGCTTGAACATTCAAATCTGCATTCGAGGATGCATCGAGGAGGAGTAACCAACGGCGGAGTACAAAAGAAGCCAAATGTCGTCCCCATCAAAGCGATCGAAGAACCAACAACGATCCTCCAAGTCCAAGTCCAATGCCACTTATAACCGAGTCTCCGAGTCTTTTTCCTTTTATTGGAAACTTTTGTTGTTATTGCGGAGGAGATCTCTTCGGGGCGGACAGCTGCACAGTGGCTGGCCAACAGTGGCACTACCATATTGCCGGCAATTTGGCCCTGAACTGATCGTCGGGATTGCCATGGCCATGTGGATTGGAGGAGCCGGAGGAGTTGCATTGGAAATATTACAAGAATTCAATGCGCATATCAAAGGCGATCGATAAGTCACGATTTCGTTGGGTAACCGGGCGACGACGACTCTGGCGACTGTCCTCCTCCAACGCCCGTTCCCCAAGCCCCCAGCCCCTTGGATCTTGGCCTGGTCTACGGCTTCTTGTTGTTTTCATCAATTTATGCAATTGCCGTTCAAAGTCTGCAATTATGGATGACATTTTTGCTCTTGTTGCTCTTTTTTTTTTATTCGCCATTTCTTTATTTTACCTTGTTGGCTCTTTTTTTAAAGTTTTTTTTATTGCAAGAAATTCAAATTCGTGTAGAAAATGTCGCTCGTTTATTTTGTTACCTGAAATTGTCTTGGCCTCGTCTTCTTTTATGTTTGTGTTCTTTCTTTGTAAGTCCTGATTAGCATTTTGTAGATTAGTAATAGCCAGGGACATTGGCAGAATCATTGGTGGGAGCACCTCGCCCTGGCCAAATGCGTTCATGGGAAATGTGTGGGAGAGGAGTACATACCGCCAGTGGGAATAATGAATTGGCAAGTAATTGTACAAGTTTTGGGTTAAAAAAAAAAACCAGGAAGGACAAGAAGCTTAATGAACTATGGGGTGTCTTCTAAGAATTATAGTTAATAATATAGTTCTACTACTGACCTCTTTAGATGTAGTTCACTTTTGCCCACATAGGCACAATTTTCCCGGTCGCACTTGTGGCTTTCTTGGGAGTGGGAGACGAGGTGGGTTTTGAGACTCTCCTGGGTCAATCCTGCATAGGAACAATCCGGAACCTGGCATTTAAAATTCTTTTTCAATGCCTCTTGATGACCCAACTCATGCTGTTTCAGACTGTATCTAAAAAAAGGTAAGAAATAATCAAAATTAAAGTTAAGTTGTCCCACAACACTGAAAGTCTGTCACATTTTAGCAGACTTGTCTCTGATTTTTTTTAGAAATTGGGAAATTTTTTAATTACATTAAATCAAGGCAAAAGTAATTCGCACCAAAGTCACGTTTCGTGGACGGAAAAGACACAAGGCACGTTCACATCCAAATCCGAAACCGAGTCCGAGTCCGAGTCTGAAATCCAACCAGACCAGTTTTAGGCCATGTCCACGTTTGTCCAGCAGTTCAGTCAAAAGGACCCGCAACATGCAAATGCAAAACTCCAGCCGGCAAAACTTTTCTGCACATCAATTACGGATGCTAATTAATCGAAACAGCTGAGAGTCGTTCCCCCCTTTTTTTTTGTAGTCCATTTTTCTGGGAAGGTTTAAGTTGGTAATAGATTGGGGGTATGCCTTTAAATGTACTAGAAACGAATTGGTAATCAATTGAAGAGGTAGGACTTGTGGCTCTTTAAGGAGAGACTTTTAGATTTTGAATTTAAAATTCTACCAACCCTTTAAGGTTAGAATTCCAGTAGCTAGTCTGGTTATATATGTAGCTTCAGTTAGCTGGCCCTCGATATCTTAACAACTCCTGATTTTTCGTGAGCTTTTTCCCCAACTCATTTGGCATTCAAGGAGGAAAAGATTCTTCTTAATAATGCGCGACATTAACAAAGTTTCAATCTTTAATCTAAATTCCTGTTACGAGACAAACGCCAAACAAAAGGCGATTGGCGGATGGGGTAGTGGGCTATGCGCGGCGTTAAGGGCTATGGGGCGTGGCCAGTTGTGGCAAATGGGTCGGAGGGGGTAAGACGACATTGTCATGCATTTCTAATGATGCCATAGGAAGGACGATGGCGCGGGGGGAGGCGATGCCCGCGGACCGGGGCGAGAAAGTGGGCGTCGTTGATATGTGAAATGTCACTTTGTATGGAGTTTGAATAGCAACGACAATGACAATGACAGCACCAAAACAGGATGACTTCCAGGACGAAACAGGGAAAACAGGAAGACAGGAGGGGGAGTTGAAAGGACGAGAAGGGAGTATAGGAGGGTGGATGGGTGGTGGCAAGTCCACCGACAACTTGAAGATATTGCAAGACTTGACAAAAGGATGCCATTTCACCTGCAGGAGTTTGCCGTAAATTGTTCTTGTTCTTGCTGCTCCTATTGGCCAGGATAATGGGGCCAACAAAACAGGAACATAGCAACATAATGCTGAAAGAAAGCAAAGCGAATTAGATGCAACAACAACAACAAAATTATCTTTTGCTCGGTTCGTTTTCCCAGCTCCCAGTTGTATTTTCACCTCCAACATTAACTTTTATTTGCTCGAATGCATTTTCCAGACTTCTCCTTAGTCCTTTCTGTTGGGTTAGTTCTTTGGGTTTCTGCAGCCATAACCGTCTGTCTCGCTAATACGTTTGTCTCTCAGCCCAGAGATACGAGTAGGAGTATAAGGAGGGGTGTTCCTGGGCCCCGACCAGGCCACATTATCCCTAAATTGAATTGAAGGTGGGTTAAGCTAATTTGAGGCAGGTGCAAGACTACTACTAGGTACTCCTAATTATATATCATACTCATAGGGACATCAAGTATAACCAAAGAAGTAAGGACTTTCAAAAATATTAAAAAAGTGGCAGCTCTTCTCTAGAACAAATATTAACCATTTAATCCAAACAGTCACATAGCCAGGTTTAATTTCCAGAAGCTGTGAAACGCGATGAGAATTTCGCCCGGCATCCTTTCATTGACGGCCAACAAAGGAAGTGGAATGGGTTGGCATATCCTGGCATCGCTGGGAGCCATCTTCTTTGCCGATTAGTTGACGAAAACGAAACGCCTTGCGATGAAAACTTTGCCCTTAACAGTGGCGCGTTTTCAGCTTCCAGAGAATGGGCTAAGGTTTAGCTGTCATCAACACCACCACCACCTCCAAAGGGATGATGGGATGCAGGAGGAGGAGCAGAAGCTGGGGGAGGAGCAGCAGCAGCTGGCCCCGGACGAAGATGTTGGCTCTGTCCGGGTGTTGTGTCAACTTTTGCACGCCATCCATTAGAGGGATGCTTGTGCCCCCAACGGATGCTCCTCCCATCCATAACAGCTCCTCTCTCCTGTCACCCCGTTTGCCCATCCAGTTAGAAAATGCTGAGCAAACATGTCGCGGGTGCGGCAGGTGCAAAATGTATCCTGCTGCTCATTGTCAGCTGCACAAGGATGTGCAGGATGCAGGCGGCGGGTGTATACTCCTTGGGATGGTTTAGCCACCCTGCCACTAAGAAGGACTCCTGTCTGTGGCTGTCTTAGACAATCGCATGTGTAGTTTCAAGGAGCTGAATGTTTGTCCTGGTGCGCTGGCATTGTTGTTCCCCAAACTCGCATAAATATTTATGACAGCGTCTTTCTTGTCCTGTCTTGTCGTGTCTTTTGGGCGCAAACTTTTGTGCCGCGGGGCGTTAGTCAAGGCAGCTCCTTTCCAGACAGCTTCCGGTGTCAGTCACCAGGATATGTGAAAAGTACAAGGTAGTGTTGGGAAGTTTTGGGAGGTTTTCTTAACCTACAAGATTATAGATTTCATAATTATCTATAACTATTCATACTTTTATTTTCTAAAAATACTGACCATTTAATATCCCTTCTCAGATCAGTAATAACCTTGGCATCTCTGTTAACCCATCCACCCACTAAACAACTGCCATATCACCCAGAGCCTGGGCTCATGTAATTGGTACGTAAGTCTTGTCTTGCCTCGTGTCCTGTGTCCTCTGTCTCCTTGGAGTTGAGAGTTGTTCTTCGTTGGCGCGACATTAGCAGGATTTTGATGCCTTGGCCCGTGCTGCATGTGAAATTAGTTGTTGCACTACCCCCACCCACCTCCCCATCTACGGAGGATTGGGGGCGTGGCAACATTTATATACCATGTGTAATTAGGGAAGTGCCTTGGTGTACCTTCCTTTCTATTCCCTCATTTGGATGGGACTCGCTGCGACTCCATGGCGCTTATCTGGGAAACTTGAGCGAAACAAAAATCGTTGCAGGAAATTACCGTTAAATGTCACCCTTGCACTTGTCTAAGCCAACACTCCAGCCCACCTCCTCCTCCTGGTTAACCCCTTTTGGGCGATACGTGTGTGTACTTTCTTGACTTTGTTTGGCTTGGCATTGTTATTAATGCCCGGCCGGGTCTTAACTCGAAGTTTTTAATGTGCCACCCAGACCGTCTATTTGGATTAGCTTTATGGCATGGGCAATGGGATTTGAATGCGATACTACCACACCCACTCTGGATTATGGAGAGTGGGATGTGTCGGTAATGAAGACGATAATTACGAGGCATGCGAAATGATATTTGGCTTGGCTTTGGTTTGCACAGCGAAATTAAATTTCCGAATTACTCTTATCTTTGTGAAAAGAAGTTAATTATTAATAAATAATACCCTGCCAGATAATCATATTTTCAAACTTATTTAAAAGTCTGATAGTCTGATACTCTGATATGAAGCTCAGAGTGAGCTGACGACAGGCGACCAAATGGAAAAGGCAGTCGGGCAATTGGAAATGCAAGCACAAAACACTTGCCAATGGCCATCAACAACAATCCAGAGTCTTGGAGTATCAAGATCCCTGGGAAGGCGATTGGGGGGGACCACTGAGACATAAGACGGAGGATTCGAACAACACGTTCCAATGCCAGCCGACCGCAAAACCGAACAATGTCCGACTCAATTTTGCAGATTCATAAAAATGAATGAATGCAATGTGGCAGCAGCAGAAATGGAAAATCAAGTTTTCTGAAATTGACTCTCAAGTTCTGTGGAGCTCCAGTTCTGCCGGCGGGGGTACGGGGGATCAGGGGCGGAGTCAGTCTCCAGTCTAGGACGAGGACGACCATTAAAATGAATTGCTCTGCACTTTGTGCCATCAACAGAATCAACTGCCGGCGAACGAATGATGCACCATAGGAATGACTTAAAATACAAAATAAAATAAGGCGAGGCGAGGGAAAATGGACAGAAAAAAATATAGAGGAAAACTGGGCAGCAGGAAAATGCAGAGACGGATTGGAAAAGCCACTTGCCAGAGCAGGATGGCGCTAGACAGGAGATGAAACCGAATCCAAATCCGAATACGACTTCAACTCGGAAAAGCAAAGGCAGCCAACAGAACATTGCACGCCATTTCAATAAAAGTGAATTGCCCGACGCTGCGATGGCGATGGCGACGTCAGCGGATGCCTCAAACTTCAGCCTTGCTGGGTCCTCCTGGTGGACTAGGAGGTGGAGCAGGAGGCGGTAGTGGCGCTCCTCTCAGCGCTGGCTAAAGTATCCGCAAAGGACATCAGCCGGCGATGGGAACGTGACTAACGTGACACGTTACCATGAACTTTCTTTTGGTGTAGATTCCTTCAGATTTAAGGTTTACTTTGAAATTTAAAATTAATATTAAAAGTTTAAAAATATATTTATTTAATCAAAACTATCTTGGGCTTCTTAACCTCCCATCTCCATAAGAAAAAACCGGCTGAAAGAAGCGACCGTAAAAGTTGAGTTAGCTGGAGTCTGGAATTCCGGAAGCGTGTGTAGAGCTCCACTGTTGACATGACTGACGACGATGTCGTCGTCCTTCCTTAGCGTCCTGGGACTGAAGACCGAGGAGGAGCCGCTCTGAAAGTTTGTCTGAGCTCCACTTCACTTTACTCCACCGTCCCACCCAATCCGGCGGCTGGCGGGTTGCTGGCCACTTGGTCTCGTTAGTCGTAAAAGCAAAGTATCTACATCAAGCGAGCACAACAATAACTTCAAATGAGCATTTTAATAAATTTTTCAAATAATCACTTGAAAAGTGGAAAATTCTCCAACCCCACTGGCACGGAGTCTCTCAGACTGGGACTCACAGTTTCCAGTCTCAGTTTTGAGTCTCCGTTTCCATCTCTGTCCCGATTGCAATTCAACTTAATGTTTGCTTAAGGAATTAGTTGGCAGCAACGAACGTGAAGTGGAAAAAAACTTTGCAAGTTATGAGTAGTTATGAAGGGCAACGGAATTGGACGATGCGATTTAGATCTGCCAGTGCTAATGGCTTTTCTGTGAGATGATGTGACTGGCGGGGATTCGCAATATTTGAACTGAAAGACTTGAGAATGTTATGAATTCTTGAGGAATTCTATGAGATATCTCAATTATAGCTGGGAGGATATATTTGACTAAATATGTATTAACATGAGAATAAAATCAACTCTTTTGTAAAACCAACAATATGCCAACAAATGGCCACTGCCAGCAAAAAACCGAAAAACAATTATGAACATGCCTTGGCCAAATGGCCATTCTAATAATGTTTTCTGGAGGACCCTAAAGGGAAGCAGCATAGAATTGGGACCGACCACAGGACCCTGGCTTTTGCATCTTTGTTTATACGAATTAATGTTTATTTTCGGGTTGGGGTTCTGGTTCGGGGAGATTGCAGTTTTTGGTGGAATAGCCGCAGGCTTGATTTGCGAGTGCATTGCATACTTTGTGGCTGCAGTCCTAGTCAGAGTCCCCCCAGTCATGTGAGGGTGTCCTGTAACGAGTCCTCGCGATTTTTGGCCGGAATGCCCCGCACTTAATGAGTTATATTTTGTTTTATTCTTTCGGATACTTACGCTGCAGCTTGGAATTTTTAATTAATGCAACACACACATGGCCAGCATGCATTTCATTTGCAGAAATTCTCCAAAACCTCGGCTTTTTTTTGGCCGTCTTCCTTGTTGTTTATTTGAGACAAACTATTTGGACGATTTTTGGGGTATTACGTGGGTGGAAAGCAACAATAAGTTGCATGACATTTTCATAAGGAAAGTCAGTCGGTAGCTTACGGCAATTGCAACATTTTAATTAGCGGACATTGTGTATTTTTGGGGAGGAGTACCCTAAAATGTAATACTTTGGATACTTACTTTTTGGCTAAAATTTTTCCACAGGTTCCACACTGATATTTGGCTTTGTTTTGTTTGCTGGTCTCTTTTTTCTTGGCCAATTTAGTTGCCTCCAGATCCCCTTTCTTTCTGTGAACTGTGGCCACATGATTCTTCAAGTTGTGTCTTCGGGCAAACTTTAGCTTGCACTCCGGACACTCGAAGAGCCTCTCATCGGTGTGATTTCGGAGATGAGCTCTGAGGGAATGCTTTTTGAAGTGCTTGGGACACAGCGGACACTGGAGTAGTTCGTTTTTGCCAATACTCCCTGTACGGGTGTGGAAGAAACGATGATAAATAAGATCAGATTCGAATTGGGAACGAAACTGGCATTGATCGCAGGAGTAGTTGGTGCTCTTGGGATTTTCGGATGCTGTGGATGCAGAGGAGGATGTGCTGGCCTGGGGCTGGCAGCTCCGGGTGTGCCTGCCCAAAGCTTGAGCGGATTGGAAGCTTTGGCCACAGCTCAGGCAGACATGATTCTCGGCAGGATGCATCTCGGCTCGATGGCGGGATAAATTCTGAGGAGAATCAAAGACCTCCTCGCAGTTGGCGCATTTTTTGGGAACAACCTTGGTTTTCTTTGAGGGATTGGCATTTGGATCTGAGGGGTCATCCAGAACTTCCCGCAGCATACTTTCAATTTCTTTGTCCGGGTGGGCTTTCGTCCCTTCCGGTCTGGCCTTCAGCTTGTGTTGCATTAAGCTTCGATGGCGTCGTGCCTCCAGAGGCGTCTCAAAGTCCAGTCGACAAATGGCACAGTAATACCTGGCCACGTGATGTTTGTGCTTTTCGTGGCGTTGCAGAGCCAGGCGAGATTTTTGCGGCATGCCACACAGGCCACATCGGAACCTACACTGATAGTCATCCCCAGCACTTCCAGTTGCAGTCTGGCCAGGATGGTCGGTGGCAAAGTGGTGGCGCAGTTGGAAGTTGTATAGGAAGCTCAGCCCACAACTGGAGCACTGGAGGTGTCTTCTTTGGGCTATGTAAATGGGAACAGAGCGATTCAGCGCCATGACCACCTCCTTGTGGGAGGCATGGAGCAAATGCATCCACATCTCATCGTTGGTGGGGCACTCGAACTGGCAGTAGCTACACCAAAAAGAGCCACCCAGTTTCTGGGTGAGAGCTGAGTGGGTCGGGGACTGCCAGTGGTCAAGGAAAGCCTCCTCCGTGTTGGCATAGAATCTGCAGGGCAGGCACTGAAACGGAGACTGCCTCACTATGCTGCCCATGTGGGTAAGGATGTCCTGCAGGGACGCCTGTCTCCTACCTTGATTTTGTTGCTGCTGCAGCCGTCGGAAATGGTAGTGGGAGATCAGGTGTTTTCCCATCAGGTGGCGAGCCATTGTGTGCCGGCAAAGATCGCAGCGCAGATAGTTGGCTCGCCTTTTCCTCTTTTCTGGTTGTGATGGATCCTTCTCCTTGTCCTTGACCTCCACGGCGAACTCTTTGCTCAGATTGAGCTCCCTGCCCAAGGTGGCCTGCTCCAACTGGCACTCGGCCTCAGCCCTTTTCAAGTGGTAGCCACTTCTCAAGTGTTGTTCGTAGTTTAGGCGACTCTTCAGGCGCCTGCAGCAAATGTTGCACCAATAGCTGGCCCCCGGCTGCTCCAGTTTGGTGAGGTCTATGTTTTCGCGGTACTCCAACTGCTTGCTGCCGGGCACCCACTTGCCCTTGGTGTGGTCCTCTGGCGGGTGGATGAACGCCTCCTCGGGTGGCTCATCCCAGCTGGGCGAGATCCGTTCGATATGCGGATGCCGGAGCTGAGGGCGGTGCTCGGGCTTCCACTTGCCGCCTGTATGAGTGGCGGGCACTGTCGGTGGCGAGTGACGCCTCACGTCATACTCTTCGTCGTCTTCCTCCGGCTCCGGGTCGAAATCATCCGGCTCGTCCTCCTCATCCTCTTCCTCACTGGCTTCCGGGGAGTCGTGATCGAAATTGAGTGGCTTGAAAACAGTATCCTCGTGCTCCCGCACAGCTTTCAGCAGTGGATCTCTTCCGGGTGCTGGCCATGAATCCTCCTTGGGCCTCTCCTGTCGTGCCACTGATCCTGTCTTCCCGCCCGTAGAAACACTCTGCAGTTGCAGCGAAGAAAAGAACAGATCAGCACCCAGTTCATAGGTCAGATCATAGGCTTCGGTCAGGGACTTTGAGGTCTTTCCGCCATGACTGGCTGCTGTTTTCCGCAAATAGCTGCTGGGAGCTTCCGGTTCCGTGAAATGGAAGCCATCGTAACTGTGATCCAAGTTGCTGCGACTGATAATTGATGCCGAAACTTGGGTGGGAGTTGATGTGGTGACAGGTCCTTCCGCTGAGGTGGTCACTGCCAGCTTTTCGGCAACCAGGCAGTTTTGCTTTCGATGTTCAATATATTTTTCCAATCCGATAATTGTGGCATTGCATTTTATGCACAAATGGGTGTCTTCCAAGTCGTCTGGATTCATGGTGATCTGGAAAGAAGTCAAACATTTATATTTTTGAGCAAAAAAAATTTAAAAAAACTTAATTTTAACCTAAATTAACAAAGAAATCTAGCATAAGGATTATTCTTTTTTTGGAATCCCACAGTACATGATTAATGGAGAGCCAGTCTGGCGACTAATCTCTCCACTAAGTCGTCATGAGAAGCTGCTGGAAATGAACTGGCCCTCGACTCCGGCTGGGTCGTATTTCAAGTCCGGTTTATTCATTAGCAGGAGATCCACCCGCTCCCGTTGGTAGCTCAACCCTTGCCATCCTGGCCACCGCAGTGTTGACATGGCCGTGTCCGTATTCGCGTTACGTATCCGCCCTGCTGTTACGCCCCGTTACGTATCCGCCGTGTGTGTTGCGGCCTGTCAGAAATGAAGTTTATTGCGTCTGTGTTGCGTCCGTGTTCCCGCTAGCATTCTGTCTCTGTCCGCATTGTGTGTCCCTTTCCGTTACATTCGCGGGATGCTAAATGTAAAAGTGTCATTTCCGCCATATGTGAGCGCGATGAACGATGCGTCGAAGTCAACGTTGACGCCGGCATCTCTGATGTTCCTGCTGTCGTTGTTGCTGTTGCTGGCTGCTGGGTTCTGGGTGCTGGCTGCCGGTACTGCTACTACTACTGTTGTGTTGTCGTCTCGGTTGTTAATAATTTCAGCGTACAATTGCAACAACAACAGCAAGAACAGTAAACGCCGGCAGCAGTTGGCTGGAATTTATACAAACGAGGCCCATGTCTGAGGTTAAATACGAAAAACATAACAATTCCAATGCAGAGCCTCATTCCCATATCCGTTGCCATGGATAAAATGGATCCATGTGGGCATGTGGGAATGCTGGATATGCGATACGGCTTATATGTTCCAATGGGTGTAGGGTTACGGCGAAACATCAGCGATTGTCGGCTTCATCCGTCTAACAGGGACAATATTGGCCCATCCCCACCCACTCCCAGGCATTTGTTGTTCTTCCTTCGAGTGATAAACGAACATTTGTTTAACAATTAACGTGCTGGCAACAGCACATGCACCATCTTATTTATAATCATTACGCCCCTAAAAATTTCAAGTCATCTGCAGTTGTTATTTTAATGGCGTTAATTAGTTTTGAAAGGGTAATTAGGATAAATTTAAAAAAAATATATTTATATAAAGGAATTATATTTTAGAGGCTATCTATTCTAGACTCTTTTAAAAAGTATATATTAAATAAGTTTTAGTAAATTACTATACAAATATCAGTGATAGTGATAGTGATACCAAAATGATGATATGAATTTTAATTTCTGGCATTTCTGACATTTCTATTCTGAAATTAAATAATAAAAGCTGTTAAAAAAAAGCTGCCGAGTACAATTGTCCCATTATTTGCATTTGTGACAACATGCTCCAATCCGAAACCGATTGGAACCGGGGAATCCGGACCAGAGTCATCGTCAGCCTTTTGCGTCATCAACAACAATAAAAGCAATGGGGCAATAGCAAAACAACAAATAACATGCCGATGTTGCTGCTGTTGCTGTTGCTGTTTCTGATGTTGTTTTTGTTATTTGAGGGCATCATCGGCAAACACCGCACAACAGAATCAGAACCGCGAATGGAAGGATAGGAAGGTGCATGAGGTTTGGGCGGTCTGGGAGGCTATGTACATACAATGGAGGCAACGAGAAATCCTCGTGGTTGTTTGATTCGAAAATTGAGTTTTAGCGAGACAAATAAAAATAAAACTTAGAACACCAGCAACAACCAAAGCGGCAGCAACAACAGAGCCCGGCAAAAGCGCAGCCATTAAAAAGGAGTTATCACCCAATTTAGTACCACAAGCGCGAAATAACGCACACAAGGGGTGGGGATGTTCTTCCTCTGTGTGTGTTAGGGTATCTGTGTATGTGTTAGGGAGTATCTGTGTGTACCACTCGTCGACGTCAGTTGGAACAACAAATAGACATACTGTACAACATGGCATTTAACGTCAAATCCAAACGGTCTCCATATAAATGGTGGACTGGGCGGTTAGCTAGGGAATTGGTAAAAAAAATACAAAAAATGAGATTAATCCTCTAATTTGATAATAATTTTATGACTAAATACTTTATGGATATTTTAAATTATATAAGAATTTCTCATGACTTTAGTGAAACTGAACTGCCCTTTAAAAATTACCAATCAAGAAACCCCTCCTTAAAAACCCTTCCAACCTATTATAATTTTTTATGAACTTCGAAATTAAATTAATATCGAAAACCAATTTAAGTTTATCCATAAATACTGTCCCACAATTTGTGTCCTCTTTATTCCCCTAAATTCTAAAAATAAACTATCAAAACAGGTCAAATCGCCTTAAAATACTTAATTTGATGAAGCTTAAGTGGAGTGTCATAAATATATCGAATTAATGGCTGAGGCTGCAAAAATTTCATTGCCATGCAGGCCAGCCAGGCAGCTTGACAAACGTCATCAAAAAATTTTACGACTTCTCTTTTATGAACGAACCAAATAAAAAAATTATATGCCACATAAACCTGATGACCGGCCGGGGCATCTTCCAGCACTCAACAGGTAGACCTCGACCATCTCCCCATCCCCGATTCCCGATCCCGAGCCGAGGTCCATGATTCAGCTCATCCTGAGTGGCATCAGCCGCTGTTTTTGCAAAACAGTGAGGGGACACATTTGAAATTAAAGACCTGAAGCTCTTTAGAAGAAGCCGTAGCATGAATACTCTTACAGAAAACTGAATAAAATCCCTTTGCAAAAATTGGGGAAAGCATGGGAAGGACACCCTGCCCCACTGCGATGTCTCTATCTTTCCCATCTTTCATCGGATTCTTGAGCGGAATACCTTAAACGATTTGTAGATTGATTCTCCACAAAACTGCATCAAAAACCTGAAACAAAATATTTTTCAGATTTTTTCCAATTTTTGCGAAAACTGGGAAAAGCATGGGACGGACACCCTGCCCCACTGCGAAGCTTATATCTTTCCCATCTTTCATCGGATTCTTGAGCGGAACATCTTAAACGATTTGTAGATTGATTCTCCACCAAATTGCATCAAAACCTTGAAACAAAATATTTTTCAGATTTTTTTCCAATTTTTCCGATAGTACCCCTTACAAAAATTAGGGAAAGCATGGGAAGGACACCCTGCCCCACTGCGAAGCTTATATCTTTCCCATCTTTCATCGGATTCTTAAGCGGAATACCTTAAACGATTTGTAAATTGATTCTCCACAAAACTGCATCAAAACCTTGAAACAAAATATTTTTCAGATTTTTTCCAATTTTTCCGATAGGACCCCTTGCGAAAATTGGGGAAAGCATGGGACGGACACCCTGCCCCACTGCGAAGCTTATATCTTTCCCATCTTTCATCGGATTCTTAAGCGGAATACCTTAAACGATTTGTAAATTGATTCTCCACAAAACTGCATCAAAACCTTGAAACAAAATATTTTTCAGATTTTTTCCAATTTTTCCGATAGGACCCCTTGCGAAAATTGGGGAAAGCATGGGACGGACACCCTGCCCCACTGCGAAGCTTATATCTTTCCCATCTTTCGTCGGATTCTTGAGCGGAATACCTTAAACGATTTGTAAATTGATTCTCCACAAAACTGCATCAAAACCTTGAAACAAAATATTTTTCAGATTTTTTCCAATTTTTCCGATAGGACCCCTTGCGAAAATTGGGGAAAGCATAGGAAGGACACCCTGCCCCACTGCGAAGCTTATATCTTTCCCATCTTTCATCGGATTCTTGAGCGGAATACCTTAAACGATTTGTAAATTGATTCTCCACAAAACTGCATCAAAACCTTGAAACAAAATATTTTTCAGATTTCTTTCCAATTTTTCCGATAGGACCCCTTGCGAAAATTGGGGAAAGCATGGGACGGACACCCTGCCCCACTGCGAAGCTTATATCTTTCCCATCTTTCATCGGATTCTTAAGCGGAATACCTTAAACGATTTGAAGATTGATTCTCTACAAATCTGCATCAAAACCTTGAAACAAAATATTTTTCAGATTTTTTCCAATTTTTCCGATAGGACCCCTTGCGAAAATTGGGGAAAGCATAGGAAGGACACCCTGCCCCACTGCGATGTCTCTATCTTTCCCATCTTTCATCGGATTCTTGAGCGGAATACCTTAAACGATTTGTAGATTGATTCTCCACAAAACTGCATCAAAACCTTGAAACAAAATATTTTTCAGATTTTTTCCAATTTTTCCGATAGGACCCCTTGCGATAATTGGGGATAGCATGGGACGGATACCCTGCCCCACTGCGAAGCTTATATCTTTCCCATCTTTCATCGGATTCTTGAGCGGAATACCTTAAACGATTTGTAAATTGATTCTCCACAAAACTGCATCAAAACCTTGAAACAAAATATTTTTCAGATTTCTTTCCAATTTTTCCGATAGGACCCCTTGCGAAAATTGGGGAAAGCATGGGACGGACACCCTGCCCCACTGCGATGTCTCTATCTTTCCCATCTTTCATCGGATTCTTGAGCGGAATACCTTAAACGATTTGTAGATTGATTCTTCACAAAACTGCATCAAAACCTTGAAACAAAATATTTTTCAGATTTTTTCCAATTTTTCCGATAGGACCCCTTGCAGAAATTGGGGAAACCACGGGAGGGACACCCTGCCCCACTGCGATGGCTCTATCTTTCCCATCTTTCATCGGATTCTTGAGCGGAATACCTTAAACGATTTGTAGATTGATTCTCCACCAAACTGCATCAAAACCCTGAAACAAAATATTTTGCAGATTTTTTTCCAATTTTCCCGATGGGACCCCTTGCAAAAATTGGGGAAACCACGGGAAGGACACCCTGCCCCACTGCGATGTCTCTATCTTTCCCATCTTTCGTCGGATTCTTGAATTTTTAAATATTTCCGGATCTTTTTCAACATCTTATATTATTACATATTTTTTTGCAAAGTTTGTAGTACCCTTTTGAAGAGTATAAAAATGCCTGGCAGCTGACGAGGAGAAATCAAGAAATGCCAATAATAATAAATTCGATGTTGTAAATTATGGGGATCGTAAATGAGAATATGCTAATCGGTTTCATTAATCCGATAATGAAGGTAATTAGTTCTTTGTTTCGGAAGAAGGCGCTTCAAAAACTTATTTAAAGACTCTCCCAAAATAAAGACTCAAAATTAAAGAAAATGTTAAATAACCCGATAACCGGGCTAAGCTCTCTCTTTGGAAGTGTAAATAAATACCTCAAGTAAGCAAAAGAAAGCCTTTAACTTCGAGTTGGTAATTAAATCTTAGCTCAATCATATTCCATAACCAGAAATGTAAAAAGATATCAAATTTTTTCATTTAAAAAACCACTTTAGGAGCAGCCTTGATCGACGGATCAACCCATTAGCATTCAAAATAAAGTCAATACCGGAGAGACCGTGAAATCGAACCGAAAACGTATGACTGGGAATTAACTGCAAATCGTTAACAATAATTCAGTGAGCAGCTCAACAGTACCACGGATGATGGGGCCGAGGGGGAAAAACAGGCTAGTTTGCATTTAAGGCGAGGATGATCGTACATTTTAATGGGCATATTTCACGCCAGTCGCATCTTTCGTTCCCGCTCTTTTCTCTGAACGCATCCAGCGGATGCCGATCTCAGCCAGCCGGCCCACGACGAATTCATAAAGTATCTGGCACTTTTTTTTAATGATTTCTGAGTTACAAGCTAGCCGAGTGGGATCTTTAACTCTGATTTTCTGCCAGCATCTCCCAGCAGGTACAATGCAACAATTTGGCGGCAACTTATGACACAGCAACCATCGCAAATAAACTCAAATGGCACCAAACTATAAAAAAAAAAAATCAACTGATCTGGGGAGCGAGCGAGAATTTATGAAGCTTTTTGCGGGCCCAACAACCGTGGCGATTGGATGTGGACGAGGCGGCTTTCGTGCGCACTTAAATTATGAATATTACCAAATGGGTCAATTCGAAATAAATAAGCAACGGTCTCCTCGGCCATCCCCAGCCAGCTCTTGCAATTCTTAGTTTCTCAGCTCTCAGCTCTGCGGCGGAACTCGATTGTCGATTGGCCAAATAGAGTTGTCTCTGTCGCAATTTCTCATTGAGCTGTCGCCTGTTAGCAACGACGAGGACTCGTTTCCTGGCCAGTCGTACAGGCGTCTAGGTGTCCAGGCGGAGGCACACGCATCCACTGTTCGGGATTGGCATTGGGCGGCATCTCTCTTATAATATCGCTCATGCATCTGGTAATCTATGCGCAATTAGCGGCGTACATCAGATTTAGTATTCTGATTGCTTTTGCATCTCCTCTCTATCTATATTTGTCCTCCCCTCTCTTTCACTCCATGGAAGATTATGGGTCATAAATATGATATGGAATTTGTTGTTATTCTTTTGCTTAATCGCTCCGAGTGTCTCATCCGCTAGATATTTAGGAGACAGCCAGGAAATGCATTTAATTTTGGTGGCCGGGTTTTTTATGATAGACTGCCATTTAAATAAAGTATTTTTTGATAAATATATACAAATGATTGCATTTTACATGTGAGAACACAATCTCCCCATCATAAAATCTCCTCAAGTCAGCATCCAATTTCCAAGCCAATAAATGAACCCCAAGAACCCATCAATGTATCCATCAATTAGAATTTGTGCAGCCCAGCCCATCTTAAGAATTTAAATCCCACTCTGCAGCCTTGGCGTTTTGGCGATCTTTATGGCACCATAACCACTTCGTGGGCGGAGGTGATAAATCCCTGTTAAGTGGCATCCCATTAGTGCATCGGTTCTCGTGACTTTCCGTGATGGTCAGGATGGAGGCGCTTCCGTTTCGCGTGGGATCGCCCCACCCACCCTGTCTCTTCCTTCCGATCGTAAATTTAACAATTTGTTTGAATCGCTCAGAGTTCACCTTTGTCCTAAAGTGTCCAATGCCATAAATTTTGATTAGTACTGTGCATCATTTGCATCAAGTGGGCGTTGTCTGTGTGGGCTTCAATCTAATTGTCAGGGGAAGTGCCACAAAGACAACGAACTTTTCACACCCCAGAGGTCGAGAATCGTTTCATGGTTTGGCGGCAAAACAAAAAAATGTCTAATTAAATAAACAGACACCCGGGCGACCGTTGAGGTCCTCTCTGGCCTGTCTTAGATTTTACGATCGGATTTTAAGACTCTCGTAAAATTCAGGATTTTACGATTCTGCTATTATTTGACAGTAAACAAGGGTAAACAATAGGAACCCAAGGCGGCCAGAGTCCAGGTGCCATGCGACCGACGGCATGGGCGTGACAGATTTGTCGCTTTTGATGATGTTGACCCGCTCTTGTCAGTTGTCAAAAAATTGTCGAAGATGATGGCCATTAAACGTGGCCACCGGGGGGAGTGCCCGGAGCTCTGGCCAATGCCATAGCCAAAGCCAAAGCCACAAAAGGCAAACACAGAACATCATCAAAGTGACTTTTATTGTTCTTTAATTGTTGAACTGTGTTCCGCTGGCTTCGTACGCGTTATATGTACATAAAATTAAATTTTATGTTCCGACTGCCGGCGAGGAAACCATTTGAAATAGTCAAGTCAAGTTGAGGCAAAGTGACCCGCTGGTTTTTAGTGTGAAAATCACTTAAGCGCGTTTACCGAATTTACGACTCTAACGACTCCCGGAGTACCGAGAGTTGGGAAGCGTTTCCGTTTTTACGATCTGCCAGCTCTACCCAGGCTTATTAAAATGATTTAGCGGCATTTAAATGGATATTTAATGTAAAATGGTAATGAAATTATTTAAAATTAATTTAAATACTTAACAAAAATATCAATTGTATTAATATTACTTGAAAGAAACTCCACGTTATCTCTCCCAGGTGTCTCTCAACCTCAATGGATAATAAATTCTGGCCAAGAAGAACACCTTTATGTGTTTTTAATATTTGTTTCCTGCATTTGTCAATCAGGCATAAATCAAATGTCAAATGCCAGGCCAGATGGCAAGGATGTTTTACGATATTAGGCCAGGAGGTCCATAAATCAGTCAGAGAAACGCATTATAAAGAAACTATAAATATTTGCTTGATTGACGCCGCCTGAGCATAAAAATGGAATTAAAACGACATAAAATTTTTACACATTTATGGAGAGTCAGTACCACGCGTCCTCGTAGGCCGATAAGGTCCTGCTTTAAATGTCACACACATAGACACACACACAAGCACATTATCAAAGGACGGGGTGTGACTGCCATCATAAAAAGCATAATTACGGGCATTTGTGCTAATGTGATTTTCTGGCCTTAGGCGTTGGCGTTGGCGTTGGCAAAACATTTCTTATCATGGCGGCAGGATGTGAAGTAAACGGGGATGTGGAAAATTAGGGACGAGGGGAATTGGTACTGGGATTGCCGAGAAAGGAATAATGCAGGCCGGAGTTAGACGCCAAGGCAGGCTGAGCTCTCGCATAAATCACTCATTATGAGGCGTAATTAATGCGACTATATGGCGACCTAAATTTTCTATAAATCATCAGATTAAACCTAAACGCCAAGCATTCGTCGGTTCTCCCAGGAACATATGATGTAAACTTGTACTATGTAATATATACGTATTATGTGCAAATGTGCGTATAACCAGATTGCCCAGAATCTATTGGCAGTGTGACTGAAGCTCCGCCCCGGGCTTATCCACATGGGCTAATGATGTCATTCGAAAGGAATCGGCTAATGGTTGTAAGGATAATTAACTGCAAGCGGATCTGGCCTACAAGGCGGGAAATATCTCAGTCGAAGTGAAATGACAACGCAACCAAATTTAGAAGTAATCAATTTTGATTAGCAGTTATAGAGGAGCTAGATTACAAACCAAATAATTTATACGCTTTATGTTTCAACTTAAAATAATCTAACCATATAGTGCGTTTATGGTATATACTGTTAACAAAAACAATACTTTTCAATCAGATAGTTTTCTATGCAAAAGGACTCGTTCCCATAGTCATTGACTCGTTGTATGGGCTCATTTAGAGACAGATGGTGTACTTCACGTCCTGTGTACTTCACGACTCCCTCAAACTGACCTCCGCCTGGGATGACCATCAGTCGCACCTTGAGCCTTGATTGTAGGTCGTCCGAAGTTCGTCGAAATATTTCGGCAAAGATAACTCTCTTTAAAGCTAACAACTGGCAGGGCGGATGATGCCGGTACAGGAGTTTGTTGATATTCCGAACTATTCGACGGGCTGCCCTCTGAACAATTTCTTCCACAATCGAGACTGGTGTGAGCCTCTGGCACAGACAAAATTCCGAGGGTATCTGGGCCATAGGGCAGTCCCTAACCTCAGGCACTGGCAGAAAGAGATCTATGCCCCTTGAAATATTCGTACCTAAGGATTCTAATGATGCAGTACGTTCTTTTATTCTTTCATCTTCCAAAGAGACCAAATCAGTTAATCCAAGCAGTGTAGTATGCAAGTCATAAGCTGTGACTAGACGGTGGGCGTTGGACCTGAGATTTTCAATAGCATCGGGAAAACGATCCTCCAACCAGGGAGGATAGAAAATAATGGCCAGTGGCATGTTCACCTCCACTTTTCCCTGAACCGTCTCGGCGAATTTATCTTTTTTCAAACCATGATCGGATACCACCAATAGAAGTGTATTTCTCAGCACCTCCATCTCAGCCACCTTATGAAACATCTCCCAAAAGGGTATGTCCAACCTCTGGCCGTAGTTAAATAATTGATCTATGCCCTGAGTCCACCTGAGAAAAGTAAAGAACCGACGACGTTTATGGTGTGGCAATAACTTTAGCAAAAAGTCCTTTAGCACAATGGCGTAGCTATCCTTTTCATTGCAGTGCGTGCCGTAGAAACTCTCCTCCCGAGTCTTCAACCACATTTCCATCATCGCCGGTCGCAAATAGTAGTCCGTGGGCTGTTCCCCGAATCCCAGCTCTGAAAAAAAGACTCTTGTCCACAGTGTCTTCCCCCAGGGCGGTTTCGTACCCAGCTTTCTCAAATGCTCTCCACAAAAACGGACAGCCGTCGAGGTCCTCGCCTTTCATGCATAGCTCTCTGACTTCAGGGCCACTGAGTCCAGTAAGCAAAGGCATCAGGCTATCGAAGGTATCGTTTCCCACTCGATTGAACCCCTTCAGCTCAACGTGTGGTCGGGATAACAAAAATTTCTGCGTTCGGCCCATGCTTCTGGAAAAATGAATGCTTGAAACCGAGTCCAGGCACACGATCATTACCGACAAGCTATTAGGATCGGAGTCTGGCTTAAAAGGCGGGAGACCCTGGATGCTGCGACGCCATTCGTCCGGTGGTTGGACATAGAAATGGACACCATTATAAACTTTAGTGCCATTGAGGTGACACTCAGCTCGAATAATATCCGCATGGGGTTCAATGGTCAGATTCCCATCCTCCAGCAAGGGAAACTTCCGACTGTATAAATACCGATTATCGCGATCCGAATTCCGTTCCAAGGCATGGTACTGGCACTTGAAGCTACCCAAGTTGTCGGCCCCCAACATTTCTTTTACCAGCTCCTTGACGACTTTTATGTTTAGGTAGTTGTTATTATTATGACTGAAGGACGTCATCCCCAGGTTGCTTTCACAATAGTCTAAGGGAAGATCGCGCCACCAGTCCAAAATGCCACCAAAAGTCAACCAGTCCAGCCCATCGGGGGTCAAGGTCAGCATTTGACATCCGTTAGTGGTCGCAGAGTACCTCTCCATGTGGAGCTCCTCAAAAAAGATATTATCCAAAATCACATCGAGATATACGTACATCACTGAGAAAAATACCACGACAATCAAGAAAAGGTATCGGACCCACTTGTGGCACATTTTTAACCTCTCCTAACTATTTTTTTTTTTTGAGATTTTTCCCTCAGTTTGCTTAGTGTTATACTATATAGATTTACTTATGATTTTCTATCAACATTTGAAAGCATCTTGTGATCTGAGAAGTTCCATTCACCCACCCCCCTACTCTGCTTAATTTCTGGGCCACTTTTCGTAATTATTCGATTCAAGCTGGGCTCCGTTTTTTTTTGCCGGCTCCTTTTGAAAATAACAATAAACTAAAAGGTCCACTCGTGCATAAACCATTCTCATTGGCGCTCCGAGCTCCACAGTCCACTCCAATCCTGGCCAGAATGAAAAGCGAGACCGGGCGGGAGGTTGCCGAGGGGCTGTGGCGTTAATTTATCACTTAACCTTCTTTAGCAGCCAAGTTTATAATTTCGATGGCGGCCATAGCAGACCCAAAGCGAGGATGACGACGAAGCTGGCAACGGCGGCACTTGAACGACGACTGCCCATCAGAGAAATGCCAGGACTCCAGGGGGAAAGGGCGATAGAATCTCGGACGGAGAAATGCTGGCCATGGAGAGGTAAAATGAGGAGGTCGGGTCATTGAGTTCCTCTTCCTTGCACTTAGAAAAAAAGTATTGCCTACTTATGGGGGGTACTTCCGTTCTGCCATAAGGCGATTCTAGAAATTGTCTCTTTTTATATTAATGAAGATAATTTAATTAAATTGGTTTAGTTTGAATTGTTATTTAAAATATTTAAATTTTTTTGTAGTGTTGTTTTAACTGGAAAGCTTAAATAAAATAAAATAACAAACGACTGCCGGAGAATATCTATTTTTTTTCCATTGTACATTTAGCCAACTGCTTCACCCTGATTCTGTCCTTCTGGCCCCGCTAAACCCTCCACACCCTTCCTCCTACTCCCCCCAACCCCCTAGTGACGCCGTCGTATTTCTTTAGCTTACGCATCAGCCCCAAAGATCCCCTCCGAATCCTCCCAACCTCCTCCGTCTCTGAGCTGGTCCTTCTCATTCCTACGGCTGTTGTCCTTTTTGTTGATGGTTTACGCTATGGCCGGGCGCTCTTTGCAAAATGAAAATGCAAAAGGAATATTCATGAGGAGATTAGAATTATTTTTCGTGCTGTCATTTTCATTTTCACTCCACCTTCTGTGCCTTTCGTCTCGCAGTTCCCTATACCCTAGGATGGGTCTTAATGGGTCTAGTAGGAGACATATAAGCTACGTCTGGACTTAAGAAAGTAATTATTACATGTATAATAAATTCTTGTAAAGTAAATATTAAATAGAAAGTATTTTTCAAAAATATAAATATTTTAATATGTTTCCTCCATTAAACCGCCACTTCTAGTCAGTATAACCGATTCTCCTAAAATTTCCACAGCTTTCTCCCAACTTTCCAATTTCCTTTCTTTTTGTTTCAAGTATTCGTATTTGCTTTGTTTTGTTTGTTTATTTTATAAATTTTTTTTTTGCTGCTGCTTTTGCTGAGCGCGAGAAAAAATTATGATTTCTTTGTGCCAAAAGGGATTAAATTTACGCTCGTTTGTCCTGTTTATGATGAGTGCTGTTCTCTGTTGGCATTCGTATACATACATAAGTATATACAAATATATACGCTTTCTTGCATAAAAGTTTAATGATACAAACACCCAGGCACTGACATGAATCACTGGATGGCAGGCAGACATCGCAACCCACAAGGAAAACCCTAAAATACAACGTCGCCATCGCATTTAAAATATTTTTGTGAAATTATTATGAAAATGCGTAAAGGGATTTAATAAATAACTGTAACTGCTTCTTACTCACCCTCGAGTATCCCCTCATTTGCCTTTTTCCCGCCATTGTACCGTAATTCATAATGTTGTTGTTTTTTTTCGGCGCTTTCCATCCCAGACTGTTCCTTTTTCTTGTGCATCTGTGTGGGATGTTCCTCCCACTTCCGCCACCCCATCACCCACACCGCTCTTGAGAACGCTCCTTTTGCTGTGTGGAATTATGTTTTATCCTGAATTATGGATTTTGTTTTGTTGTTTTCTGTCAAAATCATATTTTGTTCGCCACCACCAATCCCCCGGCTAACAACTGGCCCTCGTCCCACACCCATTTTCCCTCTGATAACCCAAGCTCGACTCATTTACATGCTTGAAATTTTGGTCTTGTTACACTGAGGATAACAAAGATATATAAAAGAAAAAATTTAAAAATGTTTTGTATCTTAAAAGGCTAAAAATTCAAAATAATATTTTTGAAAAAATAAATATCTTACTTATATTTAATTATTATTTTTTAAAGTGTCCCATTTCTGGGTTAGCTGAGCTCTCAGTTACTGCGGCAGCCTTCTCTTAGCCATTAATGAGAATTTGTTTGTATCGACGTTAGTCTTTGGGTACGCTGGAGGTTAGGTTGGAGGAGGTAGCCGGGGGTTTGGGGGCTTGTGCTCCATAGCCTTGACTGCTCAGTTCAGTTGTAAATTTACAACAACCAGAAGCGCCGGAGCACAAAGTTTTTCAAATAATTTCTACTTAATGTTTAGAATTATTTTTAGCCGGAAATTAGAAATTATGAAGAATATATCACACAGGACCAAAAGGACACGAACACCAGCCCCCGAAAAAGTCAGTATGGAATGAATCATGCATCTTGTGCTTGTTACTAAACATATAATTGCCAACAAACTCAACAAAGTCGTAAATTGTGCACTTAACAAATTAAATTTGTTTATTTCGGTTGTGTTTTGCTTTCCAGAAATTTTTGGGTTTATCCTTTGGCAAGGATAAGAATAGAATTTATTTCAGTATTTATGCAAATAATATTTTTATGTATTAAATATTGAATAAAAGTATTTTGTATGATAAACTAAATCCCAAACTTAATTGGCTCATCAAAGATTCTGTTCTATCGTCTACAAGCTCAAGGACCTTCATTCAGCTTCCAGGCTCGGGGCATAAACAAAATATCAGGTGAGCCCTTGTGGGTGACAAATTAATGTGAAGCTCATTAACGCACTGAATGAGGATTACGGATTTGATTGAAGGTCCTTTGGGCGCTCCAGTACGCACACAGTCTCAGTCGAGTTATATAAACAGATAACACATACCATCGCAGGCTATGTACACACACAGACACAGACACAGTTCGCCCAAATTTGCAGTTCAGAGCAGCAACAAAACAACGGGAATAGTCAGCGAAAAGTGTCATTATGTGTACATATAACGGGATCCGACTCCACCTACAGCCACCCAAAAACCTGCCACCGGGTATTCCTGCCCTGAAAATCCGGATACGAAAGCCAACAACGACAACGAAACGACGGCGCAAACAAGGAGAAAATGTGTACATAAAACAATCTCGTTATGTCGGCATTATCCTGAAGAATTCTGGTTCGTCCTCGTCACTCGCAGCGCCATAAATCACTCACACGCTTGGCACATTTTCCTCCACCCCAACCCCTACAGGATCCGCCACAGGAGTGTTCTGTCTCTCTCTTTCGGCCTATCTCTGTCCCTGTCCGACCCGGCCTGTCTATCTGGCTGTCGTTTGTTTTCTGTCGCTCTGTTTGTGTTTGGGGCGCGTGTCCTGCTCCTGTTCAGATGTCTCGCTCACACACGCTCGCATTTCCACACAGGACATTGCTTTTGTTTTAGGGGTTTCTACTTTTTTTGCAGTGACCGCAAGTTTTAATACACTCGAAAAAAATAGGAGGGTATAGAAAGCGTTGAAAGTGAGCTTTAAAATTGGTAGTATTAGTACTAATAGTAGTAGGTATGGTATGGTAGTAGCTACAATAGTAGTAGACTAGTTTACATCATTTAATGCCTCATTAAATGCATCATTTAATTTAAAAATTTTCTTAAAAATAAATAAAATTTATTATAATTTATATTTGAAACTAAAAACTCTTATTAAATTTTATTAAAATATTTTTAATATTTTCTTTTAAACTTGATCCTTTTTTCTCTCTTGGTTAGCCAGTAATTCACCCCGCGGTGACATTTTGGTGTGACAGACAAGACGTGTCCTTCGTCCTTTTTGCATTTTTCTCGGCTGAGTGTCTGTGTGTCAGTGTGTTTGTGCCTGTGTGAGTGAGTGTGGCAAGTTTATCGTTTTTAATGTGGATACAAGCCTCGGTCGTGGGTCGCTGCCTGTCCTCGTCCTCGTCCACGTCCGCGTCCGCGTGGGGATAATAGGATGTTAAGTAAATATTTTAAAAAGCCACCCATACTCTACCGAGCCATACATAGGCCCCTCCAGCAATTGAGAAATTGTAGGCGACCTCTAGAGCTGTGGGCGGTGGGGGAGTGGAAAACTTTCCAGGCCATGTCCGCTCATTTGCGATGGGTGGAAAAAGTTCAAGGAGGGCGGGAGAAGGGCGGATTGGGCTTTGGGAAATGAGCCGGCGCTGGCACTCTCTAATCCAGTTTTGGCCCCGACTCTTCGGCCAGGACACTTTCTGGCATAAATCATTTGCATACAAAATGAGACCAATGAGAGAAGCCTGCGAATGAGCGCCGAAGATGAATGCGCGACAACAATAATAAAAACAACACCAACATCCCGAAGAAGGGGCAGGAAAAATCCTTTCAATTTTCCCACACATTCAATTTTATTAATTAAAACATTTTTTCTCCCTTTCTCTTGGCCCTTTCTTCTGTTTGTGATTGGAGGAGCTTGGGCAATTAATTCCAAACATTCACGACGCTTTTTCTTTGTTAAGTTTCGGTATTTTTTGTTTGTTTTATTTTTACTCCCGCTATTTGTTTTGGGTGCGCAAATTATCCTTCGGTATCCTTGCGCGAAATAAAATATCACAAACAGTTACAGCCACCCATAAATAATGGGAATTTATGCCAGTCATACACACAAAGTCGAGTAGACCCGAATAATACAAAAGGCAGAAAGCAACTTTTCTCGCTGAAATTACCATTCAATCATTTTGTAATTGCCACCAAGGGTTCACCTTCTTACCTCATTTAATTCCTGTTGCCCGGTTTGGGATCATTTACTTTGCCCGAATCTTAATTCCAGCAATCTATT